AGACACATAGTGCTGCGATAACCCACCTTTATGGACGTGTAGACACACAGTGCTGCGATAACCCACTGTTGTAGATGTTCTGGTGGAAGCTTCACCCCAGCCCTCCACCCGTATATCCAAAGAGTCTGGAATGTTCCACCGCAAGCCTTCTCCCTCATCTTTCTCCAAACCCTGACATGAATCAGAAAGTCTGCCAAATGATGACCCCTCCCCCAGAGATGCTCAAGACCACGCCCACAGGGTATTTAAATAGTCCCCCTCCCCCCAAAAACAGACATATGGTTTTCCGGTCTCTCTTTCCTGTTTCCTCTCTGGGAGGCTGGAAAATCATCCGGGAGTGTTTTATCCATTAAACCTGAGCTTTTTCTAATTTGGTTTGATTTGGTCTTAGATTTGCTATGTCGGTGGAGAGACTTGTTAAGGTACAGAAACTTTCAATAGAAACAAATTTGCAAAAAATAAAGTCTATAAAATGAATTGAAACTGTAGAAGTCTTCGTATCTTTAACACCTTTAGTACTAGACATACATGGCATAGCATTATAAAATTATAAAAATAATGCTAATAACATAGACTAGTAAGAGTAAGCATTAAGGATACGGTAGCCTATGAAAAAGTTTATCACAGGGATCGTGGTCATTAACCATGGGTTTTTGTTTTGTTTTGTCAGTTTGGGTTTTTGTTTTGTCTTTTGTAGACAGAGTTTCACTATGCTATGTAGTCCCGACTGGCCTGGAACTTGCTTTGTGGACTCAGGGGGGTTGGAGTAGTGGTGGGGGTGGCTCATATTTGAGATTGGCCTGCCTGTGCCTCTCAGGTACTGGAATGAACAGCATGCTCCTCCATGCCTGTTTAGTAACTATGTTTTTAAAGTACTACATCGTGAGGAATAGCTGCTTTCTTTTTATTTTCTTATTTCTTTTTCTTTTATAGCAGGGCTCTCCTCAGAGAACGCATTCATATGTGATATCTGCCCAGTGTAGCTTGTTCTGCAGTTCTGTGAGTCCAGATTCCAGACTGGAAAAAGATATTACCATGAACTCTCCCCATCTTCCCAACCTTGCATCTGCGTGGTTCTGGGAACTGACTAATCCATTCTGCATTCACCCACTGGAGCACAGGCCAGAGCTGTCAAAACAAGAGGGCTGGTGAAGCAGCAGTGGTGATGGGAGGCGGAGGAGCCCCAAGCACCAGTTCCTAGAATGTCCTTGCTGGAGGCCAGGAGCCCAGGAGAGAGCGCTGGTTTTTTTTTTTTTTTCTCTGTTATCTCCAAGATAAGCACCTGCCTGGAGGCTTCTGTGGCAGTGACTGACCCCGGGAGGAGGCACCTGGACACCTGGCTGGGACACCTGTACAGAACAGCTCACCTCCTCCCCAGCCTCACCTAGTTTATGCCCATAAATCCTTTAAAAGGCCCCAGCTCGATGGCACCCCATTTCTAGGTCACCCTCTCTCCTTCTCCTTCTTAATAAATCTAGAATAAATTGCTCTCTAAAACCGATCCTCTGTAGTCTGTCAATTTCATTCTGCAAATTCCCAAGAACACGAAAGCCACTGGTTTAGGGTGGCTTTGGCGGCCACAGAGTTTCTGAGACCCTAGTTTCCTGAAAAAGGCTCCATGATTCTCAGAGATATCCCACTGGTCCTGCATCACTGGCATTCCCATTGTGCACCTAATTATTTTCAAAGCAGCTGGTGACACCCCTGGCTTCTTCAGACAAACATGGCTCTTGTTTATTAGCAGCACCTGGGATGCTGGCAGCTGGCAACAGTGCAGTGCACACAAATAATGCATTCTGAGGAACAACATTGTAGGGGCTGAAGAGGTGGGTCTGTGGGTAAAGTACCCATTGCACATGCTTGAGGCCCTGAGTTCAGATTGCTAGCACCCACGTGAAAGCCAAGTGCGGCGGTCTGCATCTCTAACTCCAGTTCTGAAAGCAGACAGATCTCTGGGACTCTCTAGCCTGTCAGTGTGATCAAACAGGTCAGTCTAGGTACTCTGAGAAGATTTTATATTAAAAAATAAGGTGGAAGGTGATAGAGGAAGACCCCAATGCCAACCTGGTCCCCAAATGTAATTGTGCACACACACAAACACAGACACAACCATATAAATGCCCTAAATAGACAAATATTAGTTTTTCATTGTTGCCATAGCACATGGTCAGTCTCTTCCCAGAATTCGGCTTCTGATACCTTCATATAATTTTTTTATGTGAATTTTAATTTTCAGGACTCAAAGTTATGGAATTCAAGATGATAACTCTATGAGTTGTTAAATAGCAGATTCTATATGGACCATCAGGTAGACACCGGGACTGCTGCAACTTCTACTTTGAATACCAGGAAAAATGGGAATGAATATCAAAAAAAAAATAGTATGGGTTCAGTGGGTGGAGAGTTACTAAGAGAAAATACCAAGTATAAGAAAGTTTCTGGCTGCACTGACCAAACAGGATTCTTGCCCGTCATGGGCTGGGAGGGTTAGCAAACTGACTAGACATGGAGGATGGATGTTCTGATTCAGCAGGATTCTTAGTAAAATTGAACGATATTGGGTTGACCAGAAGGCCAGCCAGGCACAGCATTTGGTCAAGGACAGACTCTTTGATAGTCAATTCTAGGACTTGGTCTGAAGCTTCTAGGAAAAAACCATCTCCTCTCTCCTGATCTGGTGCTGGCAGACTGAGGGTCTCTGACAGATTTCTGAGGTCTCTATGGGAAGGTGCTAGGCCTGGAAGCTAAGCCAACACAAGGAGAGCAGAGTGCTGGAAAGGCCCAGTGGGGTAGGGTGGGGCACTGGCATTCAGACTTGCTCAAAGCCAGATGCCTCTGAATTTTGGTATTCTTGAGGCAATTTGTTGCAGGTTTTGTATAATTCAGTATGATGTGAGTTTGTCATTTGCATCTATGACAGGCTTATTATTAGAATATTTTTCCAAATCTTAAAAATAGTCTCCTATGGATGTAAGATTTTCTTTTGTCCCTTCCATCAGTTCTGCCTAAAAACATTGGTATAAACAATTTGATGACCAGAAAGGGCCATATTTCAAACTTAAATAGGACTGCCTCTACACATAAATCTACACAGACTCACTGTGAGGCCTACAAAATAAAATTTTGTCAGGGGTACCCTGACAGACTGGCTTACAAAGATTCTAAGTGCTATTGCGGCTATATTTTTAAAATTAATTAATCTACTGTTCAGAAAAGCTGCCTGCTGAATCTCTGTCTGAATAGTGACAGGAAGCACCTTGTGTTCTCCTTAGATATGCAAATTGCCAAGACTTCAGCCCTGGGAAAAAGGCTGTGGCAAAGCCAGATGACATTCCCATTCTCCCCACCTCTCCATCCCCAGCCCTTCATTCACCTCCCAACACCCATCATTCCGTCCACCCGTCCACCCGACTCTTTTACCCCTTCATCCTCTCCAGTACCACCACCAACACCAGCAGCACACACACACATGTTCCTTGGCAGCATTTGAGTACCGAGACAATCAATCGGAAGAAAGCCTTCAGAGACCGTAGGAGAAATGACCTGATTGCCTAACTTCTTCCCTCTCAGATCTGGGGCTCTTCCTCGAGAAGAGTAAGAAGAATCCTGAAATGAAGATACTATAAGAGTAGAAAGGGACCAGTAGGCTTCCCTGTACAGAATCATCGTTTAGAGTAAGACGTGAGACATGAAGGAGTCTTTTGCGTCCAGGTTGAAGTAAAAATTCCCTCTTGCTGAAGCAGCTATATTCCAGTCATAATGTTGGCCATAATAACAGCAAGGAGGAGGAGTAACAATGATTCCTAAATGATGTGTGTGTGTGTGTGTGTGTGTGTGTGTGTGTGAGAGAGAGAGAGAGAGAGAGAGAGAGAGAGAGAGAGAGGAGACAGAGACAGAGACAGAGACAGAGACAGAGACAGAGACAGAGACAGAGACAGAGGAAGGGAGTTGGGTGTTTTCTTCTATTGTGCTCTACCTTATTTTTTGATACAGGGTAGTCTCCCACTGATCCCAGAGCTAGCTGACTGGTGGATCTGACTGGTCAATTAGTTTCATGAATTTGCCTCCTATCTCTACCCCCATCCAACGCTAGGGGCACAGACACACTACAGATAGGCCACCACACCCGGCTTTTACATGGTTGCTGAGGATCTGAACACACATCTGTATGATTGTGTGGCAAGTACTTTACTGACTGATCCATCTGCCCAGTCCCACCTATGATTATTAAGGGAGTATACAAAACACAGTCAAACTGTCTCCTTTAATGATCCCATCACTCTGTGAGATTGGCACTGTTTTTATCCCTAATTTATAGATGGAAACCTGAATAGGTTCCACACTTTGATCAGGATCCAGACTCCACACTCTCCAGTAATCTCAGTCATCATCCTGTAGACAGTCTGATGGGGCTTCTTGCCCTCCATCTGTGCCTCCCCCTGGTGGGGAGTCTCTGATAAACCAGCCTGCCTCCATATTGAGTTTGAAAGCCATCCTATAGTAAAAACAAAGTAAGTTCATTCTTGTTTATAATTAAATCTGTTTCTCAAAGACTGGGCTATGCCCCATTTGTAACCTTAACTACAAATGGTTCTGTACTGCCTATTCCAGGAAAAAGCAACCATGCCTTTGTTTCAAAAGGTTGTTGTGACCACTTTGTTATGACCACAATGTATGATCATATTGTTATGATCATGTTGTTATGACCACCTTGCAACCATTTCTTTGTTTCAGGAGGTTGTTATGACAACTAGTGATGCTTATGTTCTGTTTCTGTAACCCACCTATTTGCCTGACAAGTCTCCCATTTGGAAACCCTTAAGCTCTAAAAAAATCTTTACCTTCCTCATTTCCAATACTGATCTCTTGAACCTCAATTTAGGGAGAGACAGCCTGCATACGTGAATAAAAAAGCTTGGATTAGTAAATTTGGCCATGATTTGGTCAGTGGTCTTTCTCCTCATACCTATGGCATTAACATCTCACTGGAGTACACTTGGGAAAATGAGTAGCACTAAGTGTGAGGCTCTAGATCGGTGGGGAACTGAAAACCACTGTACTGGAGAAACCAAAAGCCAGGATCACCTGTACTTCAGGCAGCCATTCTAGCCTGCAAGCCATAGATCAGCCCTAGCTTGGGAAGACCTGACTGAAAAGTCCAATCCCTCAGGAAAACAAACCACAAACACTTATAGTACGTGGAGATTCCTAGACACTTAAAGATTTTGGTAGAGGAAGACAGGCTGTGGAGAGAAGCACAGGCGTTCTTGGTAATAAAAGCATGCCGTTGGTCTCCGGCTATTTGGACAGACCAAGTTCTGCTGTTTTAACAGGTACACCAGAATCTCTGTGGTTCACTGTGGAGATGCTTGCTTCCTATGCAAAATCAGCTGTGGATTCAGGTGCCTGGGCAGCCATCCCCTGTGCACCGACCCAGCGCCCTGAGCTCCTTGAAGCTCTTGGCCCTGCCATTAACACAAGGCCATTTCCAAGACTGCCGCCACAGGAAATGAGGGTGTTAAAAGGCCTTGCATTTAATGCTGCAGTCCACAAGCGAAACATGTCACATTCATCACAGCCCAGTGACCAGAGCTGGTCCTATAGCTCTGCCTAACTGCTGGAAGACAGAAAAAGTGCACCCCCTACCCCCCGCCGTGCCCAAGGAAGAGTGTAAATGGGTGTGGGGGGCACTGCTAGTCCCCCCCACAGAAACTCTTCTATTCCACATGACATACTCAGCAGGGAAGAGCGAGGATGTGGAGGGCAGAGCCCAGAGAAGGGAAAAAACAGAAGAGGAGAAAGAAGATAAAGGCATAGGGGAAATTTATAGGAAGAAATGAGAGCTAACCTAAAGCAAAAAGGCTTTGGAAGGCTGGACGCAGCGGCCCGCTCCAGTGATCTCAGCATTTAGGAAGCTGGGACAAGAAGATTGCTGTAAATATGAGGCTAGCCTGGGTTCTCTAAAAGAAGATTCCAAGGATCGGTCAGTGGCAGTTCTAGAAGTTCACAAGTGACAGTTGCTAAATTCTCAGTCATTTTACAAGTCAGTAATAAAACACAAGAATTATTAAAAATAAAATTATATAAATTTAAAATTAGATGATATAAAAGCCAAAGGTGATAAATTCACAAAGCCCAGCACTTCCTTTTATTTTTTGCTGTGTTTGACTGTGGTCTCAGTTCTTGAGCGTCTTTCTATTATGGGATGGCGAACCCATCTTCCTGGCCCTATGACTT